GCCAGAATGCCCTTCCTGTGACGGCCACGGGGTGGTCCCTCACGTGTGTGCATCTCATACTGCTTACTCTAGCTCCTGTTGGTGGACACGTGGGTCGTTTCCATGTTTACTGTGAAGAATGCTGTTAGGACTTTAAGTACAACATATACTTTTGTTGTTGTTTTTTTTGGGGGGGCAGGGTCTCCCTCCATAGTTTAGGCTAGCCTTTGCTTCTTATTAGGGAGAAATACATCTCCTAGAAGCTTTCTAGAACATTCACCCCGCATTTCATTGCTTGGACTTCTCTCACAGGTTCATGGTTAGCCCAGAGCAATGGGCCACGATATTTAGACTGGAAACTTCAGGCTAATTTTTTTAAAAAATGTATTTGGTTGTTGCAGCGTCTCACTATGCACCTCAGACTCGTGGTGATCCTCCTGCTTTCAGCCTCCCAAGTGCTGGGATTATAGGCGTGTGCCACCACACCTGGACTCTGTCCCAGCTCAGCACACCCTCTGGGCGTGAACCCTGGTCCCTGCCTCGCCAAAGCGGGTGATTAATCTGCTGAGCTATCTCGCTGGCCCCAGGCAAATGTTTAGAGTCTAAATGTGAGGTAGACCATAAGCCGCCTCTTGACAGAGGGGTGGACATCTCTCTCCTGAAGCAGTTGACTGGGAGGAGGAGGTGGGTCTGTGGTGGTCGACACAGTGAGATATCCAAAGCTTGGGTGGATTGGCTTGGCAATGCCACACCCTGGAGCGTAAGGGGCCAGGCCTAGAGTGACTCAGCATGAAAAGGGCATACAAAGGGATTGGGCCGACTTCCGCCTGCGACTTCCTTGGAGGAGCTTGGTAAGCTCAGCTGAGCCACTTCGGAGGAGCTCTGATCTTCTGGTCTCTGCAGTCGGCATTGGAGGAAGAGAGAGAGGCTTGGCTGACGCTGCAGCTGCCTCTGTGTGCCACCACACCTGGACTCTGTCCCTCTGTTCTCCCACGTTTTCTGCCAATGTGAACCACTGTCACCTGCCTTGGAGCCAGCGGCATATGGACTGAAACCTCCACGAACTGTGAGCTCGATAAACCTTTCCTTCCTTCACTTTGGGTGTCAGGTATTTGTCCCAGTAATGAGAGAAAAGGAACTGAGTCCCATTATGAAAAGGATGGGATGTGAGAGCTGTGAGTCAGGCCAGCACGCTCTGTGGCCCGTGCTCGTGGAGGGCAAGTACGCAGGCCGGGAAAGCTCCACAGTGAGCGGGGCCTGCTTTACAGCCTCCAGGCTGGTGGGCGTCACTCCATAGTCCTGTTGCCTTTGGTCACTGTTTTCTTTTCCTCATTTGCTTTTTACTTTTCTCCCTCCAAATTTTTTTTTACCCCTTCTTTGATGCTCTAATTTGCTACATTCCAATTCTCAGAATTTTTTGCTTTGTCCCTTGGTCTTAACAAATGCCAACTCTGCTCTGATGATTGTGTACCACTCTTTTTCTCTTTTTCCTCCTCTTCTCGTTCTTCCTCTCTCCCTGTCTCTCTCCTTTCATACCTGGAATCCAACTCAGAACCTTGTGCTTGCCAGCTGAGCACTTGTGCCACTGAGCTATATCCCTAGCTCCCACCCCTGTGATGTTTTCTTGAGTTTATGATTTGTTATTTTCATTCTACTAAATGCTGGATCCAGGGGTGAGCTCAGCTCTCCCTTCACTCCTCGACACCACAGCAGGCCCTGCTCTTGGGTAAAAATTGTGCTCCTCTCACGCTCGCCTGCAGCACCCTTTCCCTGCCTCATCTCTGCTACCTGGTGGCTTGTTACTGTGTCTCCTCCCCCTGTACCCAGCTTGCAATCCTACTCGCTTCCACGATCCTGCCTGCCATTTAGTGCTGATGAGCCCAGAGCATATGACATATGCAGCTACAAGCTTCCCCTGAAATCCCAGATACAACTGTCTCCTGAGCACAGCCATGTGACAAATTCTAAACATTTTTAGCTCAACATGTGGAAGACTGAAAAGCCAGAAGCCTACAAGTCTCTCTTGATTCCTCCTCTCACTCCTACCTCATCTTAATATTTCTGACCAGTATTTTGCTCTTTTCCTGTCATTATTTTATTTCCTATCTCCCCTTAAAAAAACTAAATTATGAAAATGGTCTGACTGGTTTTGTAAGCCCAAACCATCCTTCGTCCTGCACCTAACAGCCTAAAAAGCAATCTGATTATGTCAGTGCCTAGTTGGTTCCCTTCATACCCAAATTTAGTTCAAGTTCACTATCGTAGTACACAGTAGCGCCAATCTGTCTTTTCGTGCTTTGTCATAGTCCCCCAGCAAAGCTCTGCTGTAATGAATTTATCATAAAGCAATTGAGCCACCCTCTTTTGCACATAGCTTTTTTAAAAATGTATTTGGTATAGGGTCTCACTGCACAGCTCGGAATCAAAGTGATCCTCCTGTTTTCCTGGGATTACGGCGTGTGCCACCACGCACAGGCGGGGCGGGGCGGTGTCTGCATGGCATGTGGTGCTGCGGATCAAACCACTGTCCCTGCGCCTGCCTAAGCAGCTGCTTAGTCTGCTGAGCTATCCCTCTGGCCCTCAAGTAGTTGGTTCTTATTTTGTTCACTTAAATGATTTCAGGAGCTCCCTTCTTTGGGATCCTTCAGTTTGGGAGTCACTGGCCTCGCGGGTGTTCTGAGCACTTGTCTGTGCCTGGCACGGTGTCTGTCACCCTGCATCTTGGAGCCACAAGCTTCGCATCTGAACTGCTTTATATTCCCAGGACCTAACGCCATTGTGCATATTTAAATGTTAGATGCTGTGAAGACATCCTGGGCAACGCTGTGCTTCAGAAACAGCGTGCAGGGCTCCGAGCGCTTTGCCTCAGGAGGACTCCCCAGCTATTTGCTGAACCAAAGTGGACAGCTTGTTTTGCTCTTGAGCCGCTGGTAACTGGCACAAGCGCAACGCAGACTGGAAAGAATGCCACGGCGCGCTGTGCACGCCAGAGCCTTGGAAAGGCATCACCGCCACACATGTTATGTGCTCTCAACTTCCACAACTGATTTAACTGCTGTACAAATGTATCTATGAAATATTCAGCATTCTTTACGCTTCCTTAATAACATTACTAATAAGTGGCTGCAATTACGTGTTTATTTCCACAAATGTCTATGAATATCAGATGATCTAATTATAGTTTATTAACATTTCCTTTGCGTCACTCCATGGAAATCTCTCTCACTGCATGCATATTGTTTTGGTGCATGAGTGCGGAAAGCTGCAGACTGTTTTCCATGATCATAGATTTTAAATATTTACTTGCTAGTGTTGCATAATTTAGCACACTAGAGTTGGAAAGCATTTTGTATGGGAGCTGATGCCCTGCCAGTGTTAAATAGAACGTGCCTCTGACTTCTACATGAGGTTGTAAAAGGGAAAGGTGTTCGGGTCCTTTTTCTAACAGATTAAAGGTTTTTTTTTTTTTTTTTTTTTTGCTATAAATCCATAAAAAAGTCAATGTTTGTGGTACACTCACAACTCAATTTTGCGTAATTATCAGCTATTTTACAAATCCAAGTATTGTTTCTCACAGCCTGTTTAATTCCTTCTTGTAATCCAAATCTTTATGGAAGGTTAAAAAAAGCACAGATACCTTGCTTGATTCGTGCTATTTCTCTTAAGTAATCAGAAAGCTCTGTATTTAAAATATGGAACCACAGGGTATTTAATCAATTTAATTTAATTCTATTTAATCAGACATGAAAAAAGTTATTTTGTTTGCCCACTTTAATAAATATTTCATTTGTTTCTTGTCATAAACTTTTTGGTTCTTTGGTGGCCCCACCGTGTGAATGGAAAATAATCTGGTTACTTGTTTTTGTGAGACTAATACAAATAAATGAATGCAAACCACTAAGCACATTAAAAATTGAAATGCATGTTTCAGGTTTCATATTGAACTTTTTTTTTTTTTTGGAGGAACCGAGGATTGAACTCAGGCCTTTGCACTTGCCAGGGAAGCACTTATTCTACTGAGCCATCTCCCCGGCCCCCATATTGAACTTTTTAATTCTGCATTTTGTGAGGTTTTCATCTGGTGTTTTCATAGTCTGGTAGTAAAGACCGTAACTTATTTACTTCTCCCTTCAAGCGTCTAGTGTAATTTTCTATGCATGTCTAGCAGGTCTGGTAACTCTTGCTCCAGCAGGCTCTGCGCTACTGCATACGGCACAGCATTGTACTGTGCAATAATTCAGTATTAAAAAAAAAGTCAGTCTTTCTCTCGACATCTCAAGGTTGAGGTCTCTCTTTGTAAGACCGCCCTGTTTCAATACCTACAAAGAATCTGAAAGTAGAAAATGAGCGCACATATCCTGGCAAGTTTTTCAAGAGCCCACTCGTCGGCTCTCACCACATCTCAGAACACCGGTACAGCGCATCAAGAGAGAACACCGCCCATTTTCAGCAAAGCAGGACTTCTGGGAGATCTACGCCGGTGGGGGAGCAAGGCCCGAGAGCGCGTGGCATGCCGGGTCTTGTAGTTCCCCCCGACAAGCGCGTACAGTCGCACAGCATGCCGGACGTTGAAGTCCAATCGTTCGCTAGGCCTCGGACAGCCGTGCTGCGGTTTGTCTACCACAGAGGCACTTCTTACAGCTACTCTTCGACGGCTCGCCGCTCGCCGCAGCGGTAACCGCGTGAGGCTGGGGAAGAACAGGTCGAGGAAACGATCGGGCCACAGGCGGCGAGTGCCGCGTAAGGCGTCAGTGCGCGGGAGGGGCCGGCCACAGGTCTTGCTCGAAACGCCTCGGAGTACGGTGGCCGGCTGGGGGTTGGCACGAGGCTGTCCCTGCCAGTACGGTGGCCGGCCAGGGCTGGGCGCGAGGCTGTGGCTCCTACGGTGGCCTGCTGGGAGCTGAGGCTGCAGCGCGGAGGTCCGAACGCCTTATTGCCCGCGGGCTGCTCTTTGGTGGCGGCTGCCGAGTCTGGAACGTCTAGCGGTTGCTAGCTCGCGTACGTGGGTCAGTTCTTCAGTTCCGTTTGGGTGAGGGGTCCCCTCGAGGTCGCAGTCGAGGAGGTTGGGACGTGGTGTCTCTGGCCCCGGGAGGACCGGGTCTTGCGGGGCTCTGCCCCTAGAGGCGACCCTGCGGCCCGGTCCGCGGCCCGGGCGGCCTCGGCGGCTCCCTGCCTCGCGGTGGGCTCCCGTCTGGCTCCGCCGGGGCAGCCGCCGCCCTTCCTGAGGCCCTAGGCGTCCCGGGTGGCCCCGGGCTCCCAGCTGTCCCCCTCTCCCTTCCCAAGCCCCGACCGCTGTCGTCTTGGTCACCGCTCCGACAGCGACGCTCGAGCCTGGGTGAGCGATGCCTCTGTGTTGCCGTGCGCTCGCTCTCCGTGGTTTCTGCTCACCTTGCCACCGCGCCGCCCCCCGCCGCCCCCCATCCGAGGTCCTCTGGGGTCGCGCGCAGAGTGGCTTCTTTGGGAGAGCGTGGTTAATAGAACTGTTCTGACTGTGGTGATGTTACGTGAATCTGTATCGGGTTAGCATTCATCAGATTGCATGCCAATGAAGTCAGTTTTGCTATATGCTAACTTACAAATAAGAAACTAGTGGACATCCTGGAGAGCCGGCCTTCGTGTGGCTTATATTTATAAAAATTTTAGGATTTTTTTTTTTTTTTTTTGCGGTACCAGGGATCGAACTCAGGACCTTGCACTTGCCAGGCAGGCAGGCACTTATGCTGCTGAGTTATCTCTCCTATTGATCAAAATTTGTCGGAGAATCTAAAAGTGATTTGAAAAATTTGAATGAATTTGTTAATACATTTAACGCAATACTGAATTACATGTGACAGAATAAACATATTTTCAATGAAATTAACTATAGGTCCAAAAATAAGTGAAATTGAAATTCTATTGTTTTGCACTTGAGAATTCTGTCATGTCTGGTTACCAGAAGGCAGCTGAATTCTCCTGTTTGTGCATCCGCTACATTATGGTATCACAGGTCATGTAGCCCCGGGCGGAGTGCATTCTTATCTATAATGACTGGGAACATGAGCTCTCTCATTTCATATGATTTCCTTGGTTTTACATTTTGTTTTGTATTGATTATTTTCTCATGTGGGGTTCATGGCCAGCCCAGAGTTGAGAATACCTTGTCATAGAGCTGTTCATATCTGAATTACTTAGAGGGGAATTTTCTTCTTTTACTTCTGGGTGGTACGTCATAGTGGATTTTTTTCTTTTTTCTTTTTTTAGCGACAGGGTCTCTATGCAGCTCTGGGCTGCCTTGTGCTCACTTTTGTAGCCCCAGGAGGTCTCAGACTCCCAAGTACTGGGATTCCATGCCGGGTTCTAGGCCTGCCCGTTGGCATGTGGGGCCGGGTGGGGATGAACTAGGAACCTTGAGCTCCTGGCCAGCTTTATGCTGCTGAGCTATTGCCCCAGTACTCCTGGTGGAATTTTTGTAGTGATTTTGTGTCAACTAATAACAGACACAAGGGAGCAATCTTTTTTTTTTTTTTTTTGCGAAACCGGGGATTGAACTCAGGCCCTTGTGCTTGCCAGGCAAGCACTTATTCTACTGAGCCGTCTCCCAGGCCTGTAGAAAGGGATTTTGTTCTTGCTGTGTGGGACTGTGTAACTGGGTGGGTTGGTAGCTTCTTGTTGCACTGGTTTCTAGTCCTATCATCCTCCTCCAAGTGATATAATCTCTGCTGGCAGTGCAATATGCATACTGATTCTTGTGGCTTATCGAGTTAGGGTTATTCCCAAGTGATCTGAAATGGATTCAGCCCTGCTAAGTTAAATATTTGGGACTAAGTGTATAATATTTCAAATTAATTCACTTGCAGAATTCTTTATTGGAAAAGCTTAAGAAGGTAGACAGTCAAACATTTTATGTTCTTGCGATTCCTATTTTTTATTAGTGAATATTTGTGATGCATAATAATTACATTCATTTTTTTTTTTTTTTGGGTGGCTGGAGTGGAGATGGGAAACCTTTCATCTCCATTTTATTTTTTTATTTTTTTTTTTTTGTTTTTGTTTTTGTTTTTTTTTCTTTTCAAAGTTTTATTGATAAACATATAGCAATGAGACAGTTTCAAATCAAATCGAAAGTACAGTTTCAACAAATAATACACTGCATATATTCTTCTTAGTGGTTAATTGCTGTACAAGATGCAGACTTGTGATCCTACTTACAAACACCATTAGAAAAAATCATTCTATTCATTAAGAGAATGCAACTATATATCTATCCCAACCTCTTTGAATACACAGATACAAAATGGACATTCATAGTTATACCCCAATTTTTTTTTAAGTTCCGTTGTTGAATATTATAGGTGTGTAAACTCAGCAAAATATTCTAAAAGATACATTCATTTTTGGAAATGGAATATATATATATATATATATATATGATTTTTTGGGATCATTTTTGGTCCTTTTACCTCTTTGCCTACCAGTTCATCTTTTTGCTTCCTATGATCTCCTCCAAAATGTTTGCCTCCTAAGACTCCTTTTCAAATAGATACTTAGTAGGCACTTACAGAACATTTAGTAAAACCATCAGAACAGTCCCAGGTGAGTGTCTGTTGTCCTCATGTTTTTTTTTTTTTTTTTAAATTTTTTTTGTCCTCATGTTTTGTTGTGTACTTTTTATGACATTGTCTCCATTAATTACAGCAACTCCCTGGTCATTACATAGTATTTACAATTGAATGAACCAAAGCTCAGTGAATGTGTGTCATCTAGTTCAGATCGTTTTGGCTCTTTCCGCTGCACCACAGCTGCAAAGATTTGTTCTCTGCCCTTGGTAACAGTGCATCTGCGCAGATACCTGGTGAGCAGCTGGTCCTAGCAGTCACTGTGGGGTGCTCTGGAGGGGAGGGGAGGGGAGGGGAGGGGTGCACCCCTACTCCAGGGAGCTCGGCTGTGAGAGATGCAGACCCAGCCTACCAGAAGCACAAAGTAGGGCTGGTGTGTGCCAGACGTTAGGGTTTTAGGTTGTGAAGGCTGAAAATAGGGGCCAAATAGGAAAGGTGTCTTGAAGGTAACATTTAATCTGGAGTTTAAATAGCAGGTGGGGGTTTTGTAGTTAGAGGTTAGGAAGAAAGTAATTCCAAAAGGAAGTGTAAAGTGCACGAAATTCCAAGAGAGGCTCAAGAGAGGGACGTGCAGCCAGCTGCTTGGTGTCCTCGGCTTCCTTGCCTGTAGTAGGTTCCTGGTGTTTGAATGGGGAATAAACAGTGTTTAAATAAAGGAAGCTGTGGTGGGAGTGAGTGAGGGGCTGGAGTGCCCCAGTGGGGTGTCGCATGGCCAATGGTGGACTTGGTGCAGCGGGGGCCTGTGAGTCATTGGATGGTAGGGTAGGGTAGTGGCCAAGAGAGAAGGGAGGCTTGCGTGCCAGTTCGAACTTGGGACTGGGGAGTAGGTTCATGAGTTCCCTGTGTAAGTTGTAGAGTGCACCATTATTTTATGAATCACTGAAAGAAAAATATTGTCAATTAAACATACCAAGATTGCCCTCAATTTCAGTGATAGAGTGGAAAATCCTGTGACCTAGAATTCATGCTGTAGGGGGCCTCCTTATGATGGTTTGTGTTTGCTTGTTGGATATTTTTGTAGACATCTGTAACCTTTGACACCCCCTCAGCATTTAGTCATTCACCCAGCCTCCCGGCTGTCTTCTCGCCACACTGACACAGGTTGGGAAAGCCCTTGGAGTTGGCTGTGTCTGAGGAGGCAGATGAGGGCAGATACTCGGCTAAAGAAACTTGTAGGTTGCAGCTCTGTTAAGTGCGATAAGAAAAGGCCTGGAGTTCGCTTCTTGGCGGAGGGGTGGCTTCAGAGGGGGCTAGATTGGAGATTGGGGAAGCCATTGGGGAGGTTGTGGGGTTTCCCCAAGGACACTGCTGTCAGCTAGAGAAAGTGTGCTGGTTAGGAGATACCATGGAAGGGAGCCGTGCTGGGAGGAAAGCTGTGGCTGGCCACCCCGGTGGACGGGGTTTGGGTCCCTGAGACTGGGAGCGCTCCCCAGAGCCTGGTTTAGAGGAGCTACTTAGCTCTTCACTATTATTGCGGCAGCAGTGCTCAAGGCTAGCGTCTTAGTCATTTTCCCCTTTCCTGTCATTGCTTCGGCTGAAGGCTGGTGTACATGCAGTAAGTCTTCTGGGTTTTTTTTTTTTTTTTTTTTCCCCCACACCAGCAGGGGTGAAGTTCTAGATGAAAGATTGGGATGTGTTTTGAACCCATGTGTGACCTATTGTAACCATGTACTTGAATAGCTTGCTTGGGATTTAGCAGTAAATCGGACATCTGGTTAAATTCTAGCTTCATTCTGCTTCTGCCTAGGTAAAATACAAGTGTACATCAGGGAATAAAGACCTACTTTTGATTTTTTTTTCCTTAAAATGTTTCATTTGTTTAAATTTTTTATTTCACAGTAAGTTACAGATTCTGTAGAACAGTGTGGACTTTGGAGTGAGACTACCTGAATTCCAAGGCTTGCTTACTTATTAGCATTGTGATCTTCCAGAAATTATATGACAGTTCCGCAGCTTTGTTGTTTTATTTACAAATTCAGGATAATAATGATGCTATTTTGTCCTTGTGAGGATAAAACGAGATGTTAAGTATGTACCTTTGTTAACAGACTGGTAATACTGGGGCTGGGATCCTCTCGATTTTTGTGACCATGTGTTAGCTTTCGGGCTCTACAACTAAATAATAAAACTCAGTTTGAAAGCAAGTTTGCCTGGTGGTTGGCTTTGGTTTAGAGAAAATCTTGTGTCAGCCGGTTTGCATGTCTGCGCAGCCTGAGATGCGTCAGCGTGCGCTGTCTGTGCCGTCTTTCACAGACTTCTCAACCGGGATTGTGGTCTTCTGTAGCTGTAGTGGAAATCTGATGCTGTGATTTTGTGATTACTTGTTAAGATTATCATTTTTGTTTTTTTAAATTTTAATTTTTATAAATTTTTGAAAGCTATTTATTTATTTATTTATTTGGTACAGGGTCTCACTCTGCAGCTCAGACTTGTAGTAATCCTCCTGTCCCAGCCTTCCCAGTGCTGGGATTACAGGCATGTGCTACCACACACGGCCCCATTTCAGTGGCCAGCTTGGTGCCCAGCGCAGGTGCAGCATGTGGTACCAGGGATCAAACCTGGATCCGTGGGGCTGGTGAGATGGCTCAGTGGTCTAAAACAACTACTTAGAACAAGCTTAGCAAAGCACATGGACCGCAGTTCAATCCCCCAGCACCACATGCCAGCCAGCCCCGCCCCCTGGTGGGCTGAGCTGGCCACACACACACACACACACACACACAAATAAATAAAATAAATA